AATTTCATGTCATTAGCACCTCTAGTAATATATTTACTGAGAAAAATGGTGACGTGTTCAATACTTATTTTACCCGCTGTATTTGAAATAAATCGTTACACCAATTAATTGAAGGGCCAATTTCATTTGGGAGAAAAAAAATCAGGACTTCCATGGGCCACTCTCCCTCCTTTTGGGCCCTGGGTACTGAGGTCCACTTTCCCACGCACTTCCACGCCCACGCAGAGTAACCACTTCAACTGCTGGTGGGCTGAATCAAATGGCTCGGTGGGCCAATTTTGGCCCGCTGGCCCCACTTTGAGCAACTCTAACATAGGGACAAACACCCAGTCATGCTCTCACTCAGATAATTCATTTAAAATCACAGTTTAAATGAGAAGGAGAAAAACAACAATAACAGTTTTTCAGATTTATTTTCCTGGTTTGCTTTGCTTCATGAGACTTATTCTGCACCTCACACCACCAAAAAAGACACAGACGGTCTCGGTGAAGACAGGGCGTGATGATACTGCATGTCTTTTTACCACTTAGACACATCAGAGATGTTCTCGGCCTCTAATTGTTTCTTGACCACCTGATGAAAACAGTGTGAGCACCCCCCCCACCCCCCACCCCCCAGTTCATGAATTTCTCTCAAATCGGCCTTGATTGAAAGGGAAACCTTTTCATGCCAAGCTGCCTTTTGAAAGCACGCTGCGAGGGGGAGCCGAGACAGTATCCACTCCTGATGTGAAGGCAGGGGGATTGATTAAAATGAATTATGCAGAGGAGCGGGAACGTATCAAATATCAGCTGAGGTCTTACTCTGTCAACCTTTTTGAAAGCAGAAAAATTACTTCAATTATTTATCCACTTGTTGCTTCAAATTATTGGTAATYACTGTCAACTGAGAGGCATATTTTATACATCACTCTTAGCCTGAGTGTACCAAATGTACATATTCTGAGCTTGTTCAGTGGCAGCTGATGGTTTCACTTTGAATAAAAGGAGATTAGAGGGAAAACTTTCTGACTTCAGGTGAGAAAACAGGAAAAAAAGCAAAAAAAAAATCTCACAAGGAATACATTTTTAAAGAGATAAAAGCCAGCAGGATTAAACTGTTCCTCACTGAAGCTGCTGTTTCAGAGGGACAGACACGCAGCTGGAGACGCGTGAATGTTTTCTACCAAAAAGTGTGTGAGAAGCTAAATAAAGGTCTTTCTGCATTTGTGTTGCCATGGCAACTCGGGCAGAAACGAAGACAACGTATGGCAGCGCTGGAGTTCGTGTGTGTGTGTGTGTGTGTGTGTGTGTGTGTGTGTGTGTG